CTAGAAAAAACAGAATTCCTGCTTTTGGAGAGTTCTGAACACATTAGGTGAAAATCTGCTAAGCAATCACCTAGCTATATTTAACCCTACTTCACGTGCAAAAGAATAATCCTGAGGCTCCTCTCAGCTCTATACTTCTGTGCAGTCTAAAGCTCAACATTTAACATTACTACTTGAGTGACTAACACAGACTCTAACAGTTCTTTAAAAAATTCTACTCTCTACTAGTCACCTTAAAAATATTCTATGTAAGTAACTCAGATGTAGACTCTCAGTTCAAATAAAAGACCTTGCCTAAAAAACCTGTACTACTAGGTGTGTTGACAAAACTAATGGAAAGCCACTCATGAACCCAAAGACCCAATTAACAGGTTGTCTTCTCATACTCGCAGCCCATGTACCCAATACCTAAGGTCCTTCTCTGTTGAGGGGAGCATAAAGCAGTCAGTCCTGTGAACTGCTCTTGCTCTCACAAACTGGGCCCTAGAATCTGAGGGAGTCAGGGATAGAAATAACCTTGGGTAACCTTTATCTCTTTAAATTGCGAGCTATATTAAAGTTCCAATTGCCTATTACTGTCCCTAAACATGAGGATTAGAAAGTAAGATTTGTGGAATAACTCAAAGCCACAGGGCTTTGCAAAGGATTTAAGAGCTGGCAACTCTACCAAACTCCATTTCTGTACTGAAAATGTTACATGGTACCATAAAAGTTAAAATCTACTTGCCCCACAGGAAGATGTTTTCTCATCCTAAAACTCAAAGCGTTAATTGTTAAAGCAAGAAGTGTTACACAATGGTATAACCTTTATAGATCTGTAACTTGCCAAAACAAACTTAGTAAATATACTGTGTTAAGAGGTCAGACCAAAGGATTAAATCCTGTATATAATTGTCCAAAGCCAAGAATTCCTATGTTTGAGCAACAGTCTTTACTCATCAGCAAAAAAATAAATATTTTGGGGCCTAGTTTGGCCTTCTTAATAATTAAACACATCATCATTCAATAATATTAGACAATAGGCCTGAAGCAGCAGCAAACTGGTTTTCACAAAGCACAAAATTCAACTGTGAAACTGATTGCCACAGACCTTTCTGAAGACGAAGCCTACTTAATGTCAAAAAATACTAGATGAATAGAGAGGTGAGTGTGATTACTGATGGTTTTTTATCACAGTGGTTCTGAAATAAAGCCTAGCTTAGGAAGCTTCTAAATCGTGCATGCTCTAGAATATGATACTAAGGAAGACAGTACTTTGTACGTGCTGTCACAGATTCCTCCCTAAACTAAAAGCAATGGCTTTTTTTCCTGAAAATCATGTACTTCTGCTTTGGCAATATGCTACTAAAGTTTTAAGTATGCTTTACATTAAGTTAGTCCAGTGACCTGGATCACATTCATTAACTTCCAAGGTCTATGTCCTGTATTTATTTTTTTTTTGCTGTCAAATATTCACCTTGAATTCCAAGCCAAATCATCCAAAAGCCACCACTCAAATCTGTCTAGTGTACTTTATTTGGCTCTGAAACTGGTTTAAAATACATTTTTATTAATCCTTTTAAGTGTTACGAGTATCTGACACAGTAATATATTTTGTGCCAAAGCCCTGTTTAAAACCATAGATTTAGACTGAGCTTATAAAGCACACTTGTATTCATCGTCAAAGAACTCGGGAAAAGATTGGGACTTTTCTAGAACTGAGAAGCCCAAACTTAGAACCTCATTTACAGACGATAAGATTTAAAAAAAAAAAGGTATATTTAGATACTCCACATTTCTTGTCTACCATTCAGGTATTTCATTTCTAGTAAATAAAAATCTACGAATGGAAGTCAACTAAAATAATCTGAATAGTAGCTGTTGGCAACATGAGAGGACATGCACGGTGTTCCGTTGAACAGTATAGGCCCTTTAGCAGTAAATGTCATAACTATGACTTGTTTTGCTATTTTTTACTAAAATGCAGTCATCTTTGCTTCATCAAACATACTAGTCACTTGTACTTATTCGGAGCAGTAAGTACAAAAAAGCTGAAAAGATACATTTATATTGAACATCAATTTTTGGTGAACTACAGGAGCATAGACAAGGTGCAGAAAACAAGCTCCACAGCCCCATCTGTTGGCTAATTAAGCTCTTGAGAAAGCCATCTACCAGCCTCTACGCAACAATGCTGAAGCAGAACCTGTTCACTCTTCGGATACAATTCCAAGTCTTGCCATCACAAATCTGTGCATCAGTGGCAACTTTTACTACTTAAGCACATAATAACTGAGTTTCTAATACACTTGTGTGATTTTTAATTTATTTGAAATTAGAACAACAAAGCAATCCATGTGCGTAGTGCTGCTTTTTTGAGCAAGGTTGAGATTGACTTGTGTTTTCGTTCATAGATAAATGGCCTATAGTAAAAAAAGAGACGTCCCTTCATTTTTAAGCCCAAGCTAAAACCACTTGCTTCTAAAGCCAAGGGCTTGAATGTAAATTTTTTTTTTTAACAGCATTTACTTTAGTTTGTAAGTGACAAATGTCTTGAGCTCCCACTGACTTGTAGGGAGTAAGACAGCCAGATCTTGAGCATATGAAATATGACCTGATTGTGATAAAAACACAGAACCTAGCACCTGACTGATTTAAAACACAGCATCTAATTATATCATGAATAGAATAACTCCTTCGTATGAATGCAGTTCTAGTGAATAATTACGGTAGGACCGAGTACTTCCATACAGCAAGCAGAACAAGGTAACAGTATGACCACAGCAAGTTCAAAGACTGTTCTAGAGGTTTTAATCCATAAAATCCCACTGCAGAGGGATCTGCAACCTGCAATAGGTTGCAGGTACAACCTATTTGTAGCATAACAGAAGACAGCTGCTGCAAGCCTTAAGTTTGGTTAAGGTCAGTTGTGATGGTGCTCCCTCCCAGTGCTGAAAATGGTGGGAGAAGAGGGTGGGGGACAGATGGGAGCTAATGCGCTTTTCCTATATAAGCATTGGTCCATTTAGAGGAATCAAAACAAATCTTACAGACAGGGGAGGTGGTTGAAAGGAAAAGCATAGAAGACAAGTGAAAACTAACACAAAACACATACACAAAAATTATCTGGCATTGGGAAATACTACTGCTGACCTCTCCTGTTAAATTCTCAGTAGATACTTCCATGTACTGCTGGGAGGCAGGAAGTGTGCTGATGAAAACATACACTCCTGTAGGAAGGATGTTATCTCAGAGTAAACTGCAACTGTATAAAAGTGTAAATTAAATAGCACTCAAGGTTAAAAAAAAACTTTAAAAGTAGTCTGGAACTTGAGACCTACCTGCTTGTTTCTCTAAGTTAGGTTGCATACTTGCTCAATCAAAATCTAGTCCACTACCCCTAAATGAAGATAACTGCCACTAGTGTCGCTGAACTGAGGATAAGCAAGTAAGCTGTCATTCAAACTCCAATGGCAGTTAAACTCCATCAAGGTCCCACTGAAATTTGGGTATCCTAAACTAAAATTCGGGTATCCAACTAAGGTATCAGACTAACTGCTGTCTTTTTTAAAAGTTCTTTAAAAGAAAGTGAACTAATAAAGAATCTTAGTAATGCAGCATCAGCTGAATCCTTTATGCTCTTCTCAGTCCACAAAAATACTTTCCTTTCAAAGGACAAAATTCTGTTCCTGTTTAGGCCACAATCATAACGAGCAATCTATAGGACCTCTAAAAAGACATCAGCCGCTGGGCAGTTTTGCCCTTTCCTAGCTATCCATGCTATTATTCAAAACTCTATAAAATAAATGGGCTTCCTATCCACAAACCACAAATCTTCAGGTCTCCTATGTTCAATAAAAAACTTTTTCTGCAAGAAGAGCTATAACACTAGTTCCTTTTATGCTGGAAACAATTTATGGATACTAGATTGGGGGTAAAAAAATGGCTATATAGCTGAGCTCTTTGGGGCTTAGTAGCAGAGAAGCAAAGGGGAAGAGAGCTATCACGTGTTTAGATCACAAGCTGAAAAGACCACAACTGAAACAGACGAAATGAGTAAGGAAAGATAGAAAGGGAAGGGTCATGACAGGTGATGGATCATGTAGTGTTCCACTTCTTGCATCCCGTCTTTGACAAACTTAAATAGACTGTACATCCATATCATACTGATGTGCAAGAAAACAATATAAATCTAAGTAACACTATGGCAAACAGACTTCACTGTCAAATTCATTGTTAAGATTACTGTATTCTACTCCCTGCTATAGTGCAAATATATCCAACAGATGCCAAACTGAAGAGGATAGCATTTTAGCATGTAGAAAAGCATGGTATTCCCCTTTTAACTACCTACTCATGGTGTTTAGAGACAACAATGGCTGAACTAATTATTAGCATTGAGTATAACTAGCAATGTGATGGAGTCTTCTCCATGTTGCTTCAGTAATAAGGTGTGGCCTTGGCGGGGAGGGCAGGAAATCAGGATCTTATAACTCATATTCTAGGAGTACTGCAAAGGTGAAAAAGTAGATATACCTCCAGATTATTTGTTGGAAAAATACACAACTCATGAATGTCTGTTAAAGTATAGCTTAGAATGACATTTTTCCAATGTTTCAAAGAGTTGTCCTTTAATTGTATTTTTATATAGTTCTATTTTTTAATACACTTTGAGTGGAAAATTCTTCTCAGCTCTTGTATGATCTACGAACTCACACTTCAGTATTATGAAAACCTTTGTGAGGGGTGTTTCCTACAGTAACAGGATTCTGCTCTCTTTCTCAACACAATTGCCAGATCCTCAGAGAAAGCAGTTGCACTAGCTATTAAAGAACAGCAGAAATACTAGAAGGGCAGCAATCTGCCCTGACAAGCAAGAGACAAAGGTTCAGATTACGATGTTTGCTCTTGAATTGAAATGTTTGAAATGCCATGTGTGCACTTCATTCAACTCAAGTAGAGAATATTACATTACTTTAAAACAAATTATATCACATATCACACCAAGGTACTTAACTTACCCCTCCCATTGTAATGCCATCAATAAGTGCCACATACGGCTTTTTGCAAGTGCCTGTAAGAAATACATTTTAAAAAAAAAATCATACTTTTTTCAAAAGAGTGGACCTGTGACTAACTGTATACACAACATATTTCCCCATGTCTTACTTGCAACTTACTGTTGCAAGAGCAACAGAAAGTAAATGGTAAATTAAACAGTAAACTACCAACTTACAATGAAGGTACTTCATGTAATTCTTAAGCAATGAAAAGAAACAGCAGTTACTGACGTACTGCATTCTGAGAGTTGTAAGAGAACAATACACAACCATCAAATGTCAGATTGATTGCTATGGGAATATCTGACAATTTAGCCACATCTGGCTATAATAAATAGCTTTATAGGATGTTGGGCCACAACAGTTTCCCTTTCACCCCATCTCACAGCCTGGATTAACAGCATAGAGTGTGTATTAGCACTCCAGTTCTTTACAGCAAAGCCAGATGCATTGGCACATTTCAGCTAAAATGTGACCATAAACTACTGCAATGCAAATATGTTCTGTCTCACCAATGCTGTTGCATCTTACAACCGTGAATGTGGCACTGGCAGGTTGAGATGATAATGTCCTGTTGTACACCAGTTTTATCTATGAACTTTATCTGTTGAGGCCTTTAGGAGGCATAAAACTAAAGACCTGATGCTTTCAATTACCATTCTGGGAAAGATTCAGAAGTTCACTGTGAATGAAACCGCTACCTCGTACTCAGTGTTTCCAGGTGAGACTTAAAGCTCAGTCAGATTGCTGATATGGATATCCGCTGCAACCATGTTGCTAACTTTTCTGCAGCAACTATAGATCCTTGTTTAAAAAAAGAACTATTTTAAAAGGCAGTTCAATCCTTCAAATTAGTAGTTAGAAAATATAACAGAATTCCATTTTTAACTTTGTTCTTATATGAACATAGAAGTTAATACATGGGCTCTAGATGCTAGTCTTTGAACTACTCAATTTCTATAGAAGCATACCTTTCCAGTAGCAAATGCTGTGAAAGCAGCTCCCCTGTGTATTTTTAAGTTGTAATACATAACGCATAATTAAATCTTTTCGGCAGAAATCTCAGTCTTAAAGGAATACAATCACACCAAAGTTATCAAAAATCTAGGTTTTGTAACTACACTCATTATAGACATAGAACACCCCAATCATTTAAAAAAAAACCAAAACCAAAACAACTTTTAAAGTACGTATCCTTGCAATATTTCAATAGACTAGAATAATTAGCTGGAAGGGACCTACAACAATCATCTAGACCAACTGCCATGGTCATACTAGTTTTTCCCAAGTACATGAAACCTTAAACTATTTTTCTTGATGAAGGTAAGAAAGGTACATGACAACCATGCTAAAACTGGAAACTGTCAAATGAAGGAAGAATAACTTTTCAGAAACTACTCTTACTCTAGTAACTCTATGCTCTTCTGTCAATCTAAGTTGATACCAACACCTTCATTCCTCCTCCTGTAGTGACTAACACTGGATACAATGTTTAAAAATTCAAACTGTATTCAATTAAAGTATGTTTGGAGAAGTTTCTTCTCACCAAAACATTCAAATCTTGACTTTTACCCTAAAGAATTAATATCCTTTCTTAATATCCTTTACCTCAGTAAACTTTACCCAGTGCCTTTGCTGTTAGTTATTTTAAGACCACATACTCCTAGGTTCTTTGCAATAAACTAAGGCAGTTAATTCCTAGCTTGAGTATTCATTTATGCATTTTATTTAAATGGAAAGCTTTAACATAATTTGATCTTCTGCTTTCTGACTAAATATTAATGATTTCCCATGCCTCTATTTTTATCTCAGATCTTCTTTAAAGTAGATCAATGATACTTAGTGCAGAACTGCACTGTCTGCATCTAAGACTTAATTCATCCATACCAGAAATATAACTACCCAGAACAATGGGATGAGATAAGGTAGCTATCATAATAGTTTAAACAAAAGAAAGAAATTTTGCATGCAAGGTATAAAAATGAGATGTATTACACTACAGATATTGAGCCTGGTGAAAAAAAAAACAACTACTACTATTATGTTATCAGTCTCTTATAGATCAGCAAAGAGAAAGTGAATTTACATTCAAAGCCGCTATTATGAAAACTGTACTGCTTCAGAATTTGCTATTAAACATACCAATGGCATTGTTCAGGCGATACTCTTCCCTGAAGAAATCTTGTGTCAGTCTATCTCCAACTTTTCCTGCATCTGTGATGGCTTAAGAGAAATAGAAATTCTAAACATAACTGTAAGTTTAATGACAATACAAGTGAAAAAAAATAATATCACATGACAACAGTTGTTTTTTTTTTTCCTACAGCACTCAAACAGCAACTTAATCGTGCTTTACTTTATTTGAGGAAATTTGTTCAAACTTAAATATGAATGCAAACTTTCAAATTTGAGTCAATTCTATTATGCTGGAGAATTTGTCACATACTTATGAGACTGCAGTTCATTTTCTACACTATGGAACCCCTCCTAATGTCTGGTAGCCTTGTTTGTGCTATTTCATATCAATATATAGAACAGTCACTTAAAACTGATTATACTGAAGACTCTGAATACTAAAAATGAGAAGCCAATTAGAGCAGGACATAATTTAACAATAACCTGTGCTGCTTGTTTACCTAAAATTTACAACAACTGCTAATTTTCACAGCTTGGAGATTTCTTAAGAGTTTATAGTTATAAAATAATCACAGATACATTGATCACCATTGTCAGCTCTGTATGTAGCCATCTCAAACATTAGACACAAATTATCGAATCATAAGAGTTGGCTATTAGAACCCTTCAAATTTCTTGTAAAGAACCTGTCAGTAATGAAAATCTGGAAGGAAAAAGGTAGAGACAAGAACCCTCTCTTCCCAGGAATGACTGGCTACTATTACCAGTTATTCACAAAACCCCAATTTTTACTCTTTTATACAATGTTCCGACAGCTGTCTCCTGACAAATAACTTAAATAGCATCTGCACATCAAGAAGTCAGCACAACTAATCTCTCTTATTGTTGTGTAGGAAGCCTCTGTTTACCTGAGTCACAATAAATAAAGGAAATCAAAGCAAAGTAGTAACTGGCAAGGATACATCACATGTTTAAGCAACTATAGTCCTTACCTCTGATGTCACCCCCAGCACAAAAAGCTTTTCCTCCAGTTCCCTTTATAATTATTAGAAAAGTTTCAGGATCTTGCTCCCAAGCCTAAAAAGAAGTAAATGTTTCCATGTAAGTTAAAGTCTGTGCAAAAAAATGCTTTCTCTGTATGCTGTCTATAATTCTTATTTTACTTTTTCAAAAAGCAAATCAAACCATACTTAAAATAGTCTCTCTTAAACTGAAGTTTGAGAGTTAAATGTTTTTCTGCCACTCCGGTGTCCTATTGAGCCTTGCCATCAGAGATCAGCAGAGCTGCCTTACATATTTCAGGAAAATGCCTGTGGTGCAGAGCTCCCAATCTCTGAAGAAAGGTAGCACTCCCTAAAACAGGGCCCAGCATAAATCTCAATGGGAACACAACCCTGGGGCAGAAAGCTGGGAATATGGAAGATATAATAACAATGTTTCAGGCCAAACCATGAAATAATACAAATCATGTATAATCTAAGATGCACGGTAAGGAAAACAGCATTTAAATTGTTGATGGATTTTGTCAAAATGACTGCAGTCAATGCTAATCAAGGACTGAATCAAATCAATTTGTGCATAGAAGATTTGCTAGGTACAAAGACTATGGCTTTGGGGTTTTTTTCTGAATTAAATACACTGGTACAAGACTTCAGCAGTGGTGCAACCGTACTGAGAAAGAGATGCCTTTTACAGGCTTTCCCACCCCCCCTTAAACTATGTTTATTCAAGTAAGCATACCCATCTGGGTATGGGGAGAGAGACAAGACATTTCTGTATACCGGCAACTGTACTTAAAATTATGCCACCTTTTAAGGTTGTACTTCAAATAAAGCCCAGTACTGAGCACTACAGATGAAGCGTTTCTTTCTTTAAATGTTCCTCAAAGAATGCATAAATTTGCAACGCAACCGTCTACCAAAAGGCAGGCAACTATCCAACAGATACTGGTATCTAACAAGTTTGATTTTGTGCATGTGATAAATAATATCATTAAATTAAAAAGGACTATTTGCACACTTAAAATTTCACATCACTTCACTAGCTTGTAGAAACAGTGCCTGTAAATCCATAAAGTCCTTCTTTAAGGAACAACACTGACAGCACCTTGCTTACTAATGGCTTCAATCTTTTGCTGCAGCCACGCAGCCTCCCCACAAAACATACACCCAATCAAGAGGCAACACCACTGTATAGCTTAGAATTCATGCATGCCGACTGACCAGCTGGGTGTTGCCACAAGGAACATATATGCTTGCTTTTAATTCAGTTCTGGTTTTAATATGGGTATCTCTTTACCTATCCAGATACTAAATTTAACTTTGTCTGACAGCTTGTTTCTTTGATGTGTCTTCTCTGCTTTCTAACTTGCTTGAAACTGTCTGTTCTTTCTCATCCTATAAACCTGAGCTCATTGGCCAATGCACTCACACAGACTTTCATTCCTTAAATCAGTACACTAAGAAGCGTCAGACTGAATTTTAAAACTGGTTTCAGATAATGTATGTATAGTGGACGGGTAGAAGCGGAGCTACTAACCTTTATTTGTGGATAAATTTGTTGGATCATAGAAAAATTCAGTGCATTGAGAGCCTTGGGTCTATTCAAAGTTATTACTCCTGCACCTCCTCTCTTTTCCAACAACACTTCAGCTGTCGAATCTGTTTGCTTAGACATTTTCTGTACATGTAAAAACAAATAAATAAAGCAAATGTCATCAGTTAGATACCTTGAGTAACACACTTATAAGAGTGTTTATGGAAATATATTCTCAAAACGTGCCATTTAAGATCATAAAACATGCATTTTGGAATTGTATGCTAAGGCTTTCCCACTGTAATTCAAGTTCTATTTGTATTTCCTAAACAGTTATTTTGAAAACACTTTATGTTTGAGTCCTTCAGAGTAATAAACCTCAGACAAGTTAGAGCCACACAGTCTTTGACAATGACATTTGAGTTCATTAAAAAAAAAAAAACACCCACAAAACAATAAAACACAAAACCATGGTTCCTTAAGACTTACATTCTGAAAATAGCTGCAACAATTATAACAAGGACAGTTCCATGTGTCCCTACTGGCAGTTTGATACTGCAAACCCAAATGTACATGTTGCTTTGTCTGTACGTACCTTTTAACAGTAGAGAACAAATCATTAAAGTATTTTTGCAATTGATTTCAAATTCATGGTTGAATGATATTTAAGGAATATACAGAAGCTAGCGTAGAAACTAACTAGAAAAGTAGGTAAGGCCGAAGTAACTAAGCTTTAATTTACAGTATAACAGAAACTTGTAACAAAATGCTCGAAGATGTGGGTAATATTATGCCTGAGCAATAAATGATGGCATACAGAACCACTGTGAGCAGACACTTTGGAAGTTGCATGTGCTGTCTCTCTCGGGGGAGTTGAGTACTAAAAGTTTCCAACTCGGTCAAACAAGATGCTGTTCTTACCAAATGCTGTAATATTACTTGCAGTCTGTTGAATGGCTTCAGCCTGAAAAAGAAATATTACAAAGATAGCTAGAACCATAAACCAGCTGCACAATCCCCAAATATATGACTACTGAGTTAAGCAAAGGTTTGTCAGAAAAATTTCTGAACACAATTGTTTTACATTCTCCTCTTTAACATCAAGTAAATTAAAGTACAATTTTGATATCAAAACAGTTGGAATCGTCTTTGCTTACTAGTAAACAGACAAATACCAATGCCAACTACTAATGTTTCCACTGTGTTCCAGAAATACCTGGAAACAGTAACACAAAGAGTCTGGGGGCTATGTTTGGTACTTAGCACTGTGTGTCTTTTAAAGATTAACAGCCTTTTCCTGGACATTTAAATACTAGCATTTTTTTAAAAATGGTCTTGTCAAAAACTTGTGCATTTCCAAAGCTTCCATTACAACAAAACCGCCATAATGTCCTTGTGCGTATATATATTTACATAGGGTTTACGTAACAGCTTGAAAAAAGGCTCGTGCTTCTGCTGCTGACAGGACATACCCACGCTGGGACAGTTTGTGAATATGTCACTCGATTTAAGTAATGAGGCTGTTATTTATTAATTGTTACTCCGTTGAAGACGACAGTTAACAACGGCATTCGCTGGACTTCAGACACACCTGGCTTGCTCCAACGTTAACCGGCAACTTTACCTTTCAGCTACTTAAGAGCACAAAACACAGCCGATTAAGGTGTTACATGCTAACACCCCGGCGTCCTAAATTAGTTTGTAAGTACGTGGCCATTTTAGAATGGGAAACTTAATCTAGGCCTAAATTATATTTTATACCAGTTCAGGGGTATGAGAGGCCTTCCCAGACCACCGCTCCCTGCCGCAAGG